GTAATAAAAAGTATTTTTTTATTACCAAAGTGTATAAATATTCGTTTAATTTATTTCATTGTTTTTTTTTATTCATTTCGGTGCTGTATCAGCTATTGTATTTCGATGAATGCATTTTGATTTACAAATATATTTTATTCATCCTATCTTTCGTTTGATAGAGAACTTTGCAATTTTAATATGGTGACGCCCACAATTTTTTGCTTCTGGTTTTCTCACATTTTGAAGATCGTTGCAATTGATTTATTTTTTATAGTGAGAAGTTTTCAATCGTTTCTGTATGAATTTAGATTCTGAGTGACAGTTATTTCATTGTTGAAATTGATTTGTCTCTTGAATGATTCTGAGTTGGTGTTACCAATTGCAAGTTTATTACTTTCAAATGCATAAATATCTTTTTTATTTATTTTCATTGTTTTCTTACTCATCTCGATGTAAATATGGAAATTTGATAATTTAAAAAATGTAATGATTGTGCCGTGTTAAAGATGCTTAACTATATGAGGTCTATTCAGCACTTAGATATGAATGATACGAATTTTGCACCACTTTGAAATCCAACATTGCTGACAAAATTTTGAGGAGCGAATGAAAAATTGGTTAAGGAGTTGTAAATATCTGCCACAGTCTGAAAGAACAACGCGAGAACTGTAGAATCGTCTGTGAAATCTGCAAAGTGCAAGATGAACAATAAATATCAGAAGATTCATAAAACTGCTGGAGAACTAGGTGAAAGATGAACCAAACGAACTTTGTCAAGCTGAAATTTTATTGAAAAAATGTTCAAGAACTAGGAGGGGCCAATCAGGGAAAGAATACTTTCAAAGAACAAATATGAACTCAGTCAAGAAAAGGTTCAAGATTGTTTCCTTAGGAACCTGTAACTGCTCGAAACTCTACCATCATCATTAGAAAGTGCTACTTGTTCCTATTCGATTCTTATATTTATGTTAATTTCAGAAGCTGGAAGAGAGCCTTGCGTGAAGATTTAGATACTAAATATCACAATACTGCGTAAGCGTTAGTAACACTAGAAGATTAACTAGCGGTAAATAAGAAACTAGCAAATGGAAATACAAAATTCAGGAACACGACTTTTAAATTAGACAAAGAGGAAACATTTAGAATATATTTGTATGCAAAATACACTAGCTATCAATATTCAAAAAAAATTGGATGACAGAAAGGTTGGTCAGTAGCGCAAAGCATGTATTAGGAACGATGATGCACTTCTTATCTATGTTATAACATTCAAGCAAAATTTCCATGGTAAAAAGGTTGACAAAAACCATAACTTCATTATATTTTACCTTCAAATATATTTAAGTCAAAAAGTGCAACATTAGTCATCATGCTTAGCAAGCAAGCGGTGCAGTATTGTATTTCCATGTACCACAGTATCAATCTAATTTACAATACTGGTTATAGGGCGTCATCACTGCTACTAATAGACAGAAAATTTGTAAACAGAATCTATTTTTTTCTCTTGCACTTTTTCTCGCTATAACTTAGATGTTTTAATGATTAATCTTCAGGCTATATCAAATTTCCGCTTTATTTGCTTTGGTTGAAGTAGATAATGTCTTTGTAATCAAATTTTCTTCGAAATGTTGGCAGTCCAAACATTCCCGTGATAAACATTTGTACTTGTCTCGATGAGAAGATTTCGATTCAATCATTCGAAAAATCTCTCAATTTAAATGATTCAGCAGTAAATGAAAAATTATCATTCACCAGTCTGATGATGAAAATGTTTACTCTCATAAAATTTAAGTATTATCAGCGAAACAGAGTAGCACAGGAAGCATGTATAAAAATCCTAAATAAACTGCTCAAAATCAATGATAATTATCGACAGAGCTATTTCAATGATCAGACAACTTCAATAAATTGACAGTCATCAAAGCCTGCAACTGACAGCTTTCTCTAATTTGGGAGAAACAGGAAGCTACGCATGAAATTTCCTCGAGAGCCAACTTCAACAAAGGAGAAGACGATAAAAATACGCGATAAATGCAGCGAAATAGCTAAAATTAAGCTAGCATAAATTGTGATTTGTTCATCATTTTATTTATATCAGTGACCAAATGTCGCCCAACATTTTCTGAGCCAATAATTTGTAATTCTTCAATTTCATCATCAATCCTAACAAACAGCAACATAACTTTGGCCAGAAAAACCAAATTAGCTTTATTCTTTAATTACAAACTCCATATATATTTTTTCCTCTTAAAAGAACCCACAGAAGAAATAATCATGCCATTCAAGCAGTTAACAAAGATTGTAAAAGCTAAAAATTTTGAAAACATGCTGAAACTGCACTTACATCATGCATATAGCACGAAAGAAAGACTATTCTTCGAGTATATTGTGATAGCTAATTTACTTTTTTTCATAATCATTAATAACACAGGTCAGATGTTCACCAGATTCACCAACAGTCTGTATCTTAAAATCTTCCAATGGTACTGAATTACCATCAATAATGAAATCGCTCTTATCGTCGAAATCCTAGGCAGAAAGAACGAAATTGCTTATAGATGCTGTGACCATACAGAAGAAAGGAAAATTATGGATTAATTTTCGACACTAATCAGGATATTTCTTTTTCAGATCCTCTCACAAAAATTTTATTTTTTTGTATGCTATTATAAAAGTACGAAACTAAAACATTACGAAAAAAAGATTATGAAGCTTACATTACGAAAACTAAAAATGAATGCTAGTAGTTAAAATGATGTAAGATAAAGAACTGAACTGTTATACCATGTATAATCCTTACATCATATTAGGATATTTCACTTAAACCAGGACTTTATACACAAACGAAGCCGGAAAAATAGAAGAAAATCATAAATTCTGAAATTGTTACCTGTTTTCTTTCAAGTGTTCTGCTCTTCAAAACGACATCTTCCGAATCGCTATTTTCGTTGATATAATATGGGATACCAAGTCCATTCGTTGAAAGTGAACAGAGCATTTCATTTAAATCTCTGATTCCAAGTTTTGCACAGAATTCTGTTGACTGAGGATTCCTAAAAATAGAAAAATTTTATCCGCTGTTTCATTTTCAAAAAAATTTATCCAAAATTGGATTAATTCTGCTACTTTTTCTTTGTGGTAACTTATTTTAAAACAAGTTATTTTTCTATAAGATATCCATTATGTTTTCAAATAAATCCAAAAACAAATTATTAACGTAATTTGGGAATCGGAATGGTGCAACGACGAAAACAGTTCTACTTATTTCGTAAAACAAAGACTTAAATTTCATTTCGATTAAAAGTCCGCACATCTCACCAATGACATTAAAAGTCCGCACATCTCATCAATGACACATTAACATTATCATTAATGCTTTCCACCATTAGTGATAATGTTCGCACTTTTTTCTCTTTCACAGCCTTAGCGAATATGATCTGCTTTGAAACAAACCTAACTGATCTTCAGAAGACCTTGATATTGATTTTCTTTATGTAAAAAAATCAGATTACTAACAATTAATTTCGATGAGTGCATTTACCTGTAATATAATTCTTGAGAACTATTGTCCGTTCCACTTGTTCTATGTGGAGACGCTGTCATCTTGAAATTCATTGGTATTGTAAAATCCCCACCATATATATCTTTCACTTTTGCTAGTTCCTCTTCTGTAGGTCTGAAGTCCCAACGCTCATTGCGTGTATGTTGTGACGGCATGTAGGTATTCTAAAAAAACTATAGCCGAAATCAAAGGTCTGTTTGAAGCATGAGTGGCAAAACAAGTAATTTAAAAATATCAATGCAGAGTTTTGACACAAGAATCAAAATAAAATATGTGCCGTAACGTATTTTCTTAAATAACACTTTTCATTGTCGATTTATGTATGAGACTTTATTATATTACATTCACCACAACTTCCTTCATTTTTGGCCTGTTGCAAAAATTTCGTCCTTTTTGACAATAAAATAAAAAACCAACAAATAAAAGTTGAAATACCAATATTATATTCAAAAAAATGATACTCTGCTAGTTTCATAAAAAAGAACAACATACACTTTTGCTTGCTGATGTAAGAGCATCTGTTGCTTTCAGAATTGCTAACCATGTCGGATCATACGACAGATTTAGCGAAACATTTTGATTAACATCAAATTCTAAAGCCTGAAATGTTGAAAACAAAGTTTGAAGAAAATAGAAATTCTTAATTGAAAAATATATCGTTTAATATTAACAATAAAACAGTGCGTTCGTTACTGTTTCACACATAATAGTATATTTTACAATAGTTAAAATATGTTCAGGTAATTCATTATGTTAATAAAAATTTAGCAAAATTTTATTCTCTCTATAACAAGTGACACTGCAACACAAAAGCCATCTCAAAGTTTGATGCATACGTTGTTATAATCACCTGCAGAAAATGCCTTCGTGGAAGTGGCTTATCCAGTGATAGAAACCTGGTTGGTTCAAAGTTATTTTCAGAGTCATTTTTATTCGAATGAGATACCAGAGCTGCAAAAAAACAGTGCATATGTGCTGCCAACCAGTAGCGTGGCTTCAGTATCTGTAAAAAGAAAAAAATTCAAGACTACAGAAAATTACTTTCATTTTGTCCTTATTTCAACACAAAATCCAAAATGCCAGTTGAACAGTCTCGTAGTTTTTCAATATACGCAAGGATACTAAGAAGGTGGTATGTCCACAATCTTAATCCTAGGTAGAACTCAAATGCACTGCAATAAGAAATTGCACTTGTAATAAGTTTCTCGTTTAAGTCAGTCAAACTCAATCTCAATCTTACGACATCTTATCTACCCATCCTTTTCATCAATAGCTGATGCAATATAATTCAAACATGTAAATTCAAAAGCAATGTAAACTAGCTGATAAATAAGATGTACGCTCTACAGGAAGGCAAAGGGTTTGATAAATTTCAAATCCTTCGTGGCAAGAGAGCAACAGATTTTTTTACCTTCGCACAATTCCAAATACGTCATACATGAGCGCAAGGAAAACCTGATTGAAGGCCACCACTAGGAACTGAACCAAATACCTACTGCAGTAATTCAAACCGTTACACTTCCACACGCATAAAAGAACCCGAAAGCATAAGGAAGAACCTGCTTATAATGTCCAAGAATCACTAGAACCCTATATATTCTTCATTTAGTTGCAGCGTTCCCCACTGTTAGCCATTCCAAACGTCTAAGTTTGAATAACAGTAAGCATTCACCTACATGTAATAATGTCATAGAAGCAGGATTTCCAATCGCATTCTTTTTCAAATCTTCTTCAAAATATGGCTTCAACCTCAATAATTGCTCAACATCGCCATAATCTGTGATCCCTGCCGGCCAGTCATGTGTTACCATTACATCGATTGGTGGTTCTGAAGCAAACGAAATAGTCTAAATTCTTAGCTGAAGGATGCGTACACTGAATAGTAGCAGCAAAAAACCAGTCCAAAAAATGGTGTAAATGACAAAAATTAATGTCGAAACTAGAAATAATCTAATTTAGCTACTCTCAAACTAGTTTGGCTTTGAACGATACAGTAAATCAAGAGTGTGAGCCTAGTGTGAATGCAACTTAATAACAGCAACAATGAAAACACATCAAAATTAACACAAATTAAGTAGTTGCGAGCAGATCTTTGACAAGAGACGAAATATATAAAATTGTAACAACCGACGACTCATTATCAGAACGCTGATATTTAAAAGCTGAAAATCAAATTAAAAAGAAATCGACATACCATTTCGATCCCTCGGCTTCAACTGCTTTAGACGAAATATATCAATGGAACGTACGTGATAAACAGAAATAACTGCACCATGATCGGTAAATGGTGGGCGTTCCCAATGACCTTAATTGAAATGAAAATTATATACTGAATTTCTACGTACATTCTCGTGTTTCCGCGAGAGTATATTAAGCAAAATTTAAAACTAATTTTGGAGTTCTTAATAAAAATGTCAACCTATCACAAATTAAAAGCAACCAGAAAAATAAACAATAAGTCACTTACCCATATTATAATCATTTTTATTAAAGATGCCCGAAAGGCCAGCTATTCGAAGCCCTGCAAACTGCACAACAGATGCATGCCCTAAATAATAAATTTTCGGCGCAACCCATCCACCGTAAGGCAATTCTTGCAGATAACCGGATGCTTCATGATTTCCGCCAACAAAAATTGTTAAGATTGGTGCCTCCTGAAACAAAACATCAAATGAAGCAAACTTGGATCTCTTTAGCAAAATTAGCCGAACTTTATAATATTTGATGCGGCGTTACTTTATTGTATATCTCTTGAAATAAAAGTACGCGCATATAAATATCATTCATTGTTATAAAAAGAAATCCAGAATGTAAACTATAAACAATCTATTTAAAGTTAAATATAGTTGGAAAAAAGTAACTTTAAACATTGTGTTTTTCTAAAAAGAACAGTTCATATCATGATGTTCAATATTATCCTTCTTACCAGTACCAGGAAGTTGAATCTTACCAATTCGCCGGAATAATAGCGATGAAAGCTTTGTAAATGCCGATATTTCTCAGGTACATGCATATGCTTCAAATCACCATAATTTCGGACTGCCTATAAAAACAAATTAAATCCACAAAAAGTACGAAACAATATTTCTTGTTGTTAGACAGATTAATACCATAGCTTCCTCAAAAATTGCAAACAATTTTAAAGGATTAAAATTTATCAATGAATTAGCAAAAATGATGGATATTGCAAAATGAAACCACTAGTACGACTTCCCTAGGATAGATAAACCAGTAATCCGCACATCAAAAACCATCACTCTTACAGTCCAAACAATTCGATATTTCACTAAGGTCAATTATATGGTACCACGCTAATGTAGTTGTGTTATTAAAAAAAAAGAACAGTTATCTGCATTATCAGCGCAGCAAAAGAAAAGTGAACAACTATTCAGTGGCAGGACAACACACCTCATAGTCACCGCAGCTAATGAGCAAATCGAATTTATAACCTTCCCGTCGTTCAATCTCTGCCAATGTTGCATAAATTTTATCCATTTCTCCATGTGAACATCCAGCAACCGCTGCAATATTAAATTCGCTGAAAATCATGCAGCACTGACATCTGAAGGTTGAAAGAATTTCAATTTACGGGAATTTACATACTCCTTGCTAACTGACTGCCCGCTCTTTCTTCAGTACAAAAAAAGCGACTTTTTGAATTTGCCTTTTTTGTATCAACACTCATAGCAACGCTATTGGGATAATTACTTTTCAGAAATTGAAATTCAACAGCAAGGATTTTTGTCTTTGGTTCTGTTATATTTAATAATTTCTGTAACACTAACCGACGCGAATCTTACGATTTAGCTTTTGCCGTTTAGCAGATCCGGCAAGAGCTGAATCCGAACTTGCAGAAGTGGATGGCTGTTCCTCGGAATACACCGAGCTGTCGTTTTGTTCTGTCTTACATTTATTTATCGTGCTGCTATCCATAATCACCGTTTCAGATAACAATAAAGTAATCTGAACTATACTATATATATATAAGTTAACATTAGGATTTCTATTTCTAAGTAGAGAGAAATTCAAAGCAACTGGTACTATCTGAACAATTCAGGTCATTTTAGCAAATGATTAATAGCATTAATTGATTTGTTATCCAACTAGAAATAAGGCATAAATTTCAGTAAAAATCACGAAAATTAGAATAGAAGTTATGACTCCAATATTTAGCGCTAAGAAAAAAAATACCGAATCAGCTGAGAAATTATCATAAATTTACTGAGAAGTTTACAAATTACAATTTGTTGAGAAGTTTGTCTATAAGAATTAAGTGAAGTAATCCTTTTATCCGTTTCTTCTGGTGAACAAAATAATCAACTAAAATTTACTTATAGAAAAAAACATCTTTATTAATAACAGACCATCCCCACCTGAATTGACCCTAATCCAATGACTCCCCAACACGAGCACACCAAAAACTAAA